TCTCTCTCTCTCNCTCTCTCCTCTCTCTCTCTCTCTCTCTCTCTCTCTCTCTCTCTCTCTCTCTCTCTCCCCCTTCCCTTGTCTACAACATGCCGAACCCCATATGGCCATAGGTGATCGCGAGCATCAGCTTTTCGCGCAGAATCTCCGCCGTGGGGTACTCCGGGAGGTTAATCTTGTTAAAGCAGGTGTGCGCCTGCGGGAGGAGGTCGGGCGAGCCGGACCAGCGGCCGATCGTAAAGTGCTGCGTGACCCCCCCGGAGCCCTCCAACTTCGCGAACCCGCCGAGCGGCAGCTTGGAGGATCCCGTGGCGAACATCAGGAGATTCGCGCGATCCTCCTTGGTCATCCCCGCGACGACCTCCCAAAACCACCGCACCTGTGGTGAGGAAGGGGTGTAGCCATGGTAGATGGTGTTCGCCCGCATCTCCTCGATGTCGTAATCGACAAAGCCGCAGATCACGAGCTCGAGCTCGAGCTCGGTGAACATCCGAATCGCATCCCGCGGGATGACGGTGTAGAAGCCCGTCAGAAGGCTCGTGAGCTGTGGTGCGATGCGTTTGGTCATGTAAAACTCGCAGAGCTGCTGGACGTACTGCGTTTTATTCTCGTTCGTCACGGCGAGATGGAGGCCGCCCGGTTGGAGCTCCTCCTCGCGGATCTCCCCGAAGCGGTCGTAGCTGACGGCGAAGTGCAGCCCGAGGTCGCTGACGTCGTTCTCGAGAAGCCAGCAAAGGCTCGCGTGGAGCTCCGGATCGACGCTGCTGAGATCCTGGAAGACCGGCTGAACCCCAATCAGGTGGCGGTACACCGCCCGGGCGAAGTGGATGTCGAGGGCGACGTTGTTGCTCACCGCCATCCCCAACACGAGGCCGACAAAGTGGAAGTACTCCAGATGAGACGCGTTCACGTCGGAGGCGGGGTTCGGCTGATACGTCAACCCCTCCCGGGTGTGGATGAACAGCGCGTAGCTCTCGTTCACGAAGGCGTTGGAGAGGAGTTGAAACCACTCCCGGCGGAGCCCGCCCGCGTCGGCGCCCTCTTCGTTGCTGAAGTGCACCTGCAGTGGGGCCTTGAAGCTTTTGACCTTTTTGAGCGCGTTGAAGCTATCCTCGAGGCAGCGGTTGCGGTCGACGACGATCTTAATCAGCGCGCCCGACTCGATATCGATCCGGGAGCGGAACTGCTTCAGTTTGAAGGTGAAGTCGATCAAGCTGGGCTCCGACTTGAGGTAGGGAAACTCGGAATCGAGCAGGGAGGAATCCCAGTAGAGCAGCGCGTTCAAGGTCGCCCGGTTCGCCTCGAGAAACTTGCGAACCGACCTCGGTAGGTACCGCCGCTCGTTGATGAGCTCCGCGCCTTGTCGGATCGCATTCCGCTCCGCGTTTTTCGGATCCGCGACGACGGCGCGCATCGCCTGCTCGGAGATCGGTGACGGCTCGGCGGAGACCATCCCCGCCATAAACCGCTCGGTCTGCTCGCGAAGGTTATTCGTGGAGGTCTGCGTGCTGCCGCCGGCGGAGGAGCCGGAGCGGCGGGCCTCGCACATGTGATACTCACAAAACCCATTCATCAAGACGAGCACGGAAGGTGGAAGGCAAATCAGCACCTTATCCGGAAGGTGCTGCGTGATCAGCGAGATATCATGGAGGTAGGTTTGCACGGCATGCCAGAGCACCGTCAGCTCCCGCGGCTCCGCGCAGCCGGTCTCCGCGAAGAGCACGAAAAGCTCCCGCGTGCGATCCCGCGTCCGGTGAAGCCCCATCCGATGCAACACCCGCGTCGCCGTCTCCACGTCAAAGCGAAACCCCTCCGGCAAGGAAAGAACGGCATCCGGTGGGGCCCCCCCCCCTTCGATGCCCGAAGGCGAGCTCGCCCCCCCGTCGACGAGCTCCCGAAGCGTCTGCCGGAGGACCTGCCGGGCGGCCTGAATCTCGCGGCACACCCCCGTCGCGAACTCCACGAGCGCGCGCTCGACCAGGCGGATCGCGGGGGACGTGAACGGCCCCCCGCCCCCGCCCCCTCCCTCACCGGCGCCTTCCCCGATCCGCGCGACGCTCGCCTTCAAGCCGCGCGCGAGGTAGCGCGCGAGGTCCTTCGCGAGCGCGGCGTCGCAGCCCGGGGTTTGGAGCAGGCTCAGGCACCCCTCCAGCGTGGAAGGGGAGGCCGCGAGGAGGTGGAGGG